GAACCACATTGTTAGAGACCAGCTCTCCTCTAAATATCTTTACCATGGACAGAAACTACAGACTCTGGGTGACAAGGAACTGAGAGTTTTTGTGTACCGCAACGTAAGTTCTTGCAGTGTGAAGGGCTCTGTATGGCTGAATACCTGATGTCTGTAACGTTATGGCTGTCACATAAAAGACATGACTGAGTATTGTGGAAACTACAAAAATGTCTCTTTTGAAGCATATGCTAATAAAGTCTTTTGTTCTGCAACTTTGTTCGCAGAACCTTTGCATTGAAAATGCCTGCATTGCTGCCCATGACAAGAGAGGAAGATTTGGGACCCTGTTTAGCATGGACAAAATGTTGACCCCACCGACTGGCTCAGTGATGGATGTCCTTAAGGCAGACCATCGCTTCAGGTGAGTTTTCTGCTCCTCCTAAGTGCTAGTTAGGAGCAGAAGAGCTGTCAAAGCAGCTTATATTTATTATGGGTCGTAGTCATGACTATATGTAATTTTTAACATAGAAAGTGCATCCAAAGCCATGGTCTCATCCCTAAATTATAGGGAGTGAGACTTCAGATAACCCTTCAATGAATTGTGAGCCAAGAGTGTGTGGTCCCTCCTAATATGCTAATAAGCTGTCTTTGAAGCCATCTCTGCCCATCAGAAGCACTCTGGCCAGACCTCATTACCATTTGGTCCCCAAGGACTCAGCATTCCCAGGTGGCTCTGCCATTTCTCAGACGTTCTAGTTGGACCTCACGGGCTCGTTTCCCACCTACTCAGCTTTTTGGTTAATTGTTTTGCTAAATCCCAGAAGGATTTTGCAATTGTAACTGCACAGCTCTCTTTTGAACACAACGTGCAATTGCTCAAAGACCAACAAAAGGAGTTTATAATGAAACATTTTACGTATGTTTGTTTTGCAGTACATTGGTGGCTGCAATCCAGTCCGCAGGTCTAACGGAGAACTTGAACAGGCCAGGTACCTTCACGGTGTTTGCTCCCACAAATGAAGCTTTCCGAGCCATGCCCCAGGGGGAGCTGAACAAACTAATGGGTGAGTGTGTTTAGAGCATTTAGATGAACCTAGTTGCTGTGTGTTATTGGCATGATGTGGGGAGGAATGGCTAAGTTTCTCTGCTTTATCTCAGTCTTTTATCCTGTTTGTTGGAAGCCTGGGCTTCCTACACAACTGGTTTGGATAAGCCCTATCCAGCAGAAAGCTGAGGATGCAGAGAGTAGCACTGAGCTCTTACACAAAGCGTGGGCATGATTTTGTACTTTCGTTGGAAGACTTTAATTTGGCTGTGCTGCCTGGTGTAAGCAGGATAACTCTAAGGTGTTTCTAGAGGAACCAATGAGGTCTCTGCCTTTGTCAGAGATGAAGGAAGTGGGACTGTAGCTCTCAGCCAAATAGGATCACAGTGTCTAAAGTAAGCTTTGCAAATAGAAAACATGGTCTACACTCAGCCTGCGAGTTACACTGTGTGAAAATTAAGCAGTGAAAGGATGGAGCTGTTGCTCCATCTGTGTGTACCTGGATCAGGAAATCCAGCCTGATCCTGAGAAGACAATAAATACTCCAGTCTAGCACAGCCGAAGGCCAATATCCTGAAAAGCACAGCTGTGCAGGCTGGGTGTGGAAAAAAGACTG